TTTGCCTATATTTTGCCCTGTTGATGGCCTTCTTCACCATCCAGCTGGCGGATTGAGAATTGGGAGTAGGTCCTTCTGTTTTGGTTGTGCTGCTGCTCTGATATTTATCCTAGCAACATGGTTCCTTGGAAAAAAGAATTTATTTTATTTAAAATTTAAAGATATTTCAATATGCTCAGATGTAAACTTAAGATGTGGGAGAGAGGCAGAGAGCCATCATCTTTCCCATAATTAAATTGGTGGTGAGTTATCTGTGAAAAACTCTGTGGTTCTTATCTTCTCCTTGTTATTTTCGATCACTTGTGAGGATTGCCATATTTCCTTCTGGAGCCTGGCCTCCAGTGGGAGGTTGTATTTGAAATACCAAAGGAGAAAAAGATGAGTTTGGGAGGTGAAGCCGCTGCACAAGGAGACAGAATATAGTGGCTCGAACACCCTAGAACTCTGTTTTTCTTGTCCGGTTCCAGACTGGATTGTGTGGATGTTGGGACGAGAGAGTATGGGGCTCTGCCTGGTTTTTTAAATCATAGTCTGGTGAAAGCTGTTCTGCCATCTACAAAACTAACTTCCAAATTCTCTCTGGTCATTGTCTGCCACAGTCAGGAGGAAAGAGCAACACGCTTGTGGAAATTTTTATCCATCAGGCATTCTATTCAGAGAACTTGGTCACATTGTTCCCCACCCCTAACTCCACCCAACCAATGCAAGGAGAGCAAGGAAATGTAGAGCAGCTCCTATGGAAGAGGGGAAATGGAGTCTGGTGAATAGCTAGCCTTCTCTGCCCCACTGGCTATCAAGTATCTCTTGAACCCTTCTTCCCACACTTAGAACGCATGTCTCCCTATCTCTGCCTCCATGGAAGAGAGCCTTAACTACAGTTAATGTACCCAGCTCAAAGCCCAGAACCTCAGGGGATGAGCAATCCTTTTCATCAAGTCAGTCTCTGGGCTCTTTTTACCTTGGGGCTTTGATTCTTCCTCTGGGAGGGTCTTCCATATTTATTTGTCTCCATGGCTACATCGAAAAGATAAATAGGGTCTCCTTGGGGTCTTTCACTACCCACTTTCTGCTGGTGCAAATTTGAGGGCTCAGAGCATTTAGTTGAACAACAGAAGCCCTTTTTAGGCCAGGTTTGGATTTCTTTTGGGTAATACCATTTTCTCAGTAATTTAGCAGGCTTTTNCTATAGCTAATCAATAGTTTCCTTGCTTCGCTTCCACCTTTTCTCTATAAAAATCTCTTCCCAGCTCCTGTTGGTAGAGAACTCCTAACTACTTCCTGTTTGGTGCTGCCCAATTGGAATAGGTTTTTGCTCAAATAAACTCTTAAAAGTTTTTAATATGCCCCCGTGTGTCTTTTAACAGTGCATATTTAGAGATGAAAGCAAAGAAAAGATGGGAGGCAACTCCTGATAGGGAAAGCCACAAGAACCCTGAAATAATTCTAAAACTGATCAAAACTATTTCAAGCTTGCCTAAAACATCTTGATTACCATTGTGCCAAATTTTGCCTACACTTTTATCACCTGCCTCAGCACACATAAAGCCCATATTTATCAAAGGATTAGGGCAGAGAAGAACTCCTTGGCACCCATTTCTGGCTCTATTACAATTCCAGAACAGTAAAAAATTGTCAGGCCACCTACACACAGGCCATTTCAAGAAGAGAGAAGCCCTATAAAAGTAGTAGGGCTTTCAATATTATTCTGCATCAGCTTCGGGCGTAACAGATATGTAGGAGGTCAGAGGGGTAGTAGACTGTGGGGGTGGGGTATCACTTTGTGAAGGGTGTAAATGTCTAATCATGTTGTTTTGTAAACCTGAAACTAATGATTTAAAAAACCCAATGGAAAAAAGTAGTAGGGCTATTTGTGATGATTCATTGTACTTTAAAAAGAAAAAAAGGTCATGCATTAAAATTAAAAACTTAAAACTGTAGTTATCCGTAGAAATGGCAGGTGACCAATCAAAAACATTTTTAATGCCCTCTCATTTGGCTCTGATGAGCACCACCCGCTCCGATATTCTTCCGATATTGCACATTACACACATTTCTCAATGTAGCTTGAACTTTTTNTACATTGTAGAACTACTTCATGTGATGGTCAGGTTGGGTGATTTTCCAGTGGAGAAAGGGTTGCATTAGAACTTTGGGCAACAAGGAGGTTATATTGAAGGAATTATATTGAAGGAATTATATTGAACTTATTGTGAATAAAAGCTGAAGTCAAAAATATTCAAGCAGCGGGTAGAATAATTAAATGTAAACTCCAAAGGGCATCACTGGAATTGATAAACATGCACTTTGTGCAAAAGGACTGTGCTCTTCCAGGACCTGCTCAACATTTAAAGTGCTTTTGTTACCTTCCATGAATTTTTAACCTGACAAGAGAAAAATTCTTACAGCAGGCTGGAGGGTGGGAGGAAGAGGTAAGGGAAGTTGATCAGTTAATAATAGTCAGAGGCCGAAACCAACCAAAGACTGCCCACATTTCTGAATGTATGTTGAAACTTTGAATGGACTTCCAAGCAGCCAACTAGAAAGAATAGCTATCCACCAGATGCCACATCATCCTACTTACACATGAACTTTCTGGACAGTTGCCCACAGCCAACACAGAAGCATCAAATACTTCATCCTTATGGACTATTCACCTCTCCCAGAACTTTCTCTGATTCTCCTTTTCCCTCCCGCTTTATCTATAGCCAATGTAAATCCTTTCAAAGCAACTTACATCTTTATTCCCCAAACTTATTGTATAAAAAAGCCCTGTCAACCCCAGGACAGTGGACATGTTTGTCTTCTTCATCCTGCCCTCCTGCTGGTAGTTTATAATTTATGTCCCAGGACCTGGCCCTTTTCCTGGCTAGCATATGGCTCAGCAAGTCCTTTTCTTTCAGGAAAACTTTCAGTCTGGAAGGTTTTTGTTTAAGAAACATAACGGAGAAAGATAGGTAAAATGGGTAAGTGTGTGGATGATATAATGCAGCGGTTCTCAACCTTCCTAATGCCGNGCATAACATGGATCTCCAGCTTTCAAACTCACTACATTTGTTTCCTCACTGCTCTCTGCCTGACAATGACCCAATGCAACATAGAGATGGCCCCTGACTTACAACGGTTCAACTTACAATTTTTTGACTTTACGAATATGTGAAAGCAGTACTCATTCAGTAGAAACAGTACTTCAAATTTTGAATTTTGATCTATTCCCGGGTTAGTGGTATGTGATACCATATTCTCTCATGACACTGGACAGCAACATGTCAGCTGTGGACAGCTCCCAGTCAGCCACACGATCACTCAGAAGGATAAATAACTGATACTCTACAATGTATTCATTGTGTTAGATGACTGTGCCCAACTGTAGGCTAATGTGTTAGCTCTTAAGTGTTCTGAGCACATTTAAGGTAGGCTAGGCTAAGCTGTGATGTTTAGTGGGTTAGGTGTAGTAAATACATTTTCAACTTATGATAAGTTTATTTGGACATAATCACATTATAAATCGAGGAGCATCTGTATTTTAGTTTGGGTTATGGCAGCACCCTCCTTTACTACCAAATTCTAAATTAATTAGGGTAGACTAAACTGCCATAACATTGGCCCAATGTAATGCCTTAAACACAACAGAAATTCCTTTTCTTCTTGTGGAACAGTCCAGAATGGTTTTTCTAGGTTGAGGCAGATGAGAGAGAGCTTTCCTCAACATAGTTTTCAAGCACTTAGGCTTCAACATATAACTTCCAAGGCCGTTCTGGTCATTGTCATTAGCATCCCACACAGTCATAATGAGGAAGGACCACGGAGGGATGCTTGTGAGAGTTGTATTGGCCATTCTTATTAGTGGCACATGCTATTTCTGTTCACATGCCTTTTGAAGAAATTAATCCCAGGACTATACCTAAATGCATGAGAGTGTGGAAGTGAAGAAAGAGCAGATTTTGGTAAAGAGCTGGCTGTCCACTGCAAAGAGTAAGTAGTTGGTGCCTTTTTCTCTTTCCAGCTATGAAACAAAGGGGAAATCAGATACATCCAGCAATCATGCAGTGCTGAAACTGGCCAAAGGAGACGAGGTCTGGCTGAGGATGGGCAATGGAGCTCTTCACGGGGACCATCAACGTTTTTCTACCTTTGCAGGCTTCCTGCTCTTTGAAACTAAGTAAATATTTGAATAGACCAGATCCGCTTTGGAGAAGACTTGTAGCTCAGCTGGTATTGTTACGATCTGAGGGACATAAGAGTTGAGGGTTCTACATGTGCGTTTTTTAATTTTTTGTATTGGTTACATTGCTAATCATGCTAGAAGCACAGCATTAATGTGGGATGACTCAGGGGCTCAGAAAAATAAACCACAAAACAGCTTTCCCAAGTGATCTTCACTAGTATACTTAGCACCTGTATCACTCTTCCTTAGGCACCTGAAAGAAAATTCCCCTCTTGATACAGGTTGTAAACAATTGTTCTCATCAGAGGAACCATTCACAAAGAGTTTTGGCTGTTCTGTTTTTAACTTAATAGCAGGTTTCAGGAACCCCTGAGGTTTTGGGTTCATCATTATAACTTTTCGAAGAATAGGATGCAGTGACTATGATGGGGCCCAGGCAAGAACAGGGGCACTTGCCAGAACTGAGGTACCAGAAACCTTTGTAAACCTAAACTGGGAAGTAACACTTTGATCTAGTGGGTCAATACTAATGAATAAAGTATAGATAGTTTTTAGTAACTCCAGATAGATTTTAGATAGCAGAAGTATTCACAATGCCCACAAATAATGATGGCTTCTTTTTTAAATAAGGATATTGCCGCAATTAAATCTTAACTCCTAATAGCTTGTATTTTTGGAAATAGATTTTTCTCATGATCCAGGATTGAGTTTACCAAATTGGTTTATCAGATTGACTCTTTTCCCTTGTGTTTCTTAGATTATGACAGATCTGTGTTCACGCTACCTGCAGAACCAGCTGAGGTGAGTTTAGGTCCAACATCATACAGATAGAATCACCTTCTTTTCTCTCAATTTAGAAATTATCCTAATAAACTTTACACACACTGACAAATCGTGTTAAAGGAGGTGTAGACTCAGTTATATACAGTCAAAATAATAGATACAAAATAGGAGACATGCAATAAAATCCCAACCTTTTTAAATAAAAAATGATATGACTTCCTGGATTACCATATTTAACCAATATTCACACAACAGCTGTACCATTTGACTTTTGCCTATCCCTCCCCCAAAAATCTATTCTCAGAGGATTAAATCAGTCACCAAAAGGATATTCATGAGAATGCACCATAGATACTCTCTGAAGATAGTACCAAAGATAGTACCCCAAATTGGTCTTTTTTAAGCAAAGAAAGCATCACTGGAACACATATTTACCCTGATGTTGAATCATATTGAAAATGCACTAGAGAGACACATATTTGACAAATATCATATAATGAATACCCTTAGAAGTAATGGGCCCTTAATTTATTTTCTGTTACCATTTGAATTTCCACAGAGGCTTTTTTAACTATGGGTTTACTTGTATCGAATACCCCTATAGCTGGAAGCAGAGAGAATCAATTAGGGCTGCCCTATTAGCCAACTTAGTGTGTTTCATGCTCAGTTCAGCCTTTGACACTTTTCTTTTGATCTGCAAATATTTTTAAATTCTTCCTGAATCCACATGCAATGCTATTTAAAAGTGAATGGATATTAGCTATAATGTGCTTGACTGGTAATGCTTTTGTGGTTTTGTATACATCCCCACCCCCCACCCCTTCCTCCGGAGCTGTGGAGTCATGGGGTTGAAGTTTACAATTACCAAATGTCATAAATATTTAATAACAGTGCATTGCCAGTAGATAGTTGGACGGTGCATGCTGTCCAAAGTAATTCCACATCTAAAGAACATATTGTAAAAGTACAGTGCCTAGAGCAGGATTATATTGTCCTGGCTTTAGACAAAATTGAGGCAAGAAAAATGTTAATAAGCATATGTGAAAATAAACTCACCTTTGTTTAATGTACCNCAGGAAGCCTTCCTGCCCCTGGCTTCCTAGACCTTTCCGTTGCACCTGATATTGTTGAGCATTCGCCCCTTGATGCCATACGTGGAATCCGAGATGCTGCTGTGGCCCTTGTTCTCTCCTTACACCTCTCTGCGACTTCTTCCCAAGTTTCTCTTTAAGCGCCCATTTATATTTGCCTTTCTTAATGATTTGAGTCACGAATCCTGTGAGACTCTTAATGAAAGTCGTAGGTCCTCTCCCCAGAAAAAGGCATGTAGGTCCACAGTCGTTTGGCTGCACTCCAGGGTGTGGGGTGTGTACCCTCTAAAGCCACCCACGGACCCAGGCGAACACTCCCTGTCTTAAATGCTGGTGTTCCCAAGTTCTAGCTTCAGCTCAATTTCGTTTCCACTGCTTCCTGGAGCCACCTTATCCAGTCCCGTTGTTTTCACGTTTTATAGACAGGTGATGCCCAAGTGTGTAACTGCACCCCTCTCTTTTAGAGCCATAGTCTGAAGGAATACACAGGCCCTGTACATCTCTCTCTGCCTGTGCCCCAGGCGCTGCGACCTCCGCAAACCTCAAACCCAGCCCATCACCTTCGCTACTAAAATGGCATCTCCTCCTGTGTTATTTATCTCCGTGAATGGAATCAGTCCACCCAGTTGCTTTAATCAGAAACCTGAACTTCATCCGACTCCAAATTTTCCTTTCATTCTACCCACTTTCA